CCCGGCGCGCCGGTGCTGCATGGGAGCAGCAGGGTGGAGATCCGGCGTGCAAAGTGGGATTCGTCGCTGCCCCAGTCCTTGGTTGCTGGTGCATGTTCTATCACGGCCCCCCTTTCAGGTCGAAATAAAAATCAACACAGGAATGTTTCATAACTCACCCTTTCTTCGGTTTCTGAGTGTTCCCTAATTCTTTCTAGGCTAATAATTTTTCACCCACTCCAGGGATTTCACAGTTTTCCTCTTTTGGGGTGAGAAGTTCCGTTCGTGACGTCAGAGAAAGAGGTCTGAGGTGGCTCAGGTTCTTGAAGTTCTTGAAATCGTGAAGTATGTCATCCTCTGGAGAGTGTATCATATCCTCTCTTTATATTGCTGTTAGGATTACAGAGACCTTTTCCCTCCCTTGATTTTCTGACTCATTCTGCACATCTGTTTTCCTCTTTTGGATTCTGTCACCATTACTGTGACTGCAAACTACCTGTTTTTAAGATTCTTTGCTTTTATGATATTATCTTTCTGGCCAAATACGTCATCAACTGAACATTTACAAAAGTAAATGAGTGGCAGAAAATACCAGAATAGTGAATAGTCTTAATTTATATTTTTGTTCATAATTTTGACTTACATGAGTTATTCATTCATTCATCTACTATATATATATATATATATATATATATATATATAGGTTAAAAGACATGAAAATCTCTATCTACAACAGAGAGTATAGTCAGTCACTAAACAAGTATGGAGCTGGGCATGGTGGCGCACGCCTGTAATTCCCGCACTCGGGAAGCTGAGGCAGGAGGATCTTTGCAAGAGTTTGAGACCAGCCTGAGCTACAAAGTGAGCTCAAGGTCAGCTTGAACTGCATAGTGAGACCCTGCCTCAAAAAGACTAAATAAGTAAGTAAATAAATAAATAAACAAACTAAATAAGTACAGAAGTATGGTAGTTCCTCCTTATCTATATTTGCACTTTCTGTGGCTTTAGTTTCCTGTGGTCAGCATGGTCCAAAAGCTTTAACTAGGAAATCCTAAAAATAAGCAATTCTTATTGAATGCCTTTCTGAGTAATGTGGTGAACTCTTACACCACCCTGCTCTGTCCTACCTGGGACTGTAAGTCTCTCCTTATCCAGCCTATCCATGCCCTAGGGGTCACCTGCCTGTTAGTAGCCTTCTTGGTAATCAGATCAACTGTAGTAGTATCACTACGATTGTATTCAAATAACCCATTTTACTTAACAGTGGCCCCAAAGCGCAAGATGAGTAACAGGCAATTGAGACATGCGGAAGAGAAACCATCAAGTGTGTGCTGTAAGTGGAAAGGTGAAAGTTCTGTTTTTTTTTTTTTTATTTTGGCTTTTTGAGACAGGGTCTCACTATGCAGTTCAGGCTGGCCTTGAGCTCACTTTATAGCCCAGGCTGGTCTCGAGCTTGCAGGGATCTTCCTGCCTCAGCCTCTCGAGTTCTGGGATTACAGGCGTGTACCATCACGCCTGGCTGAAAGTTCTTAATAAAGAAAAACAGTGATGTGCCCCTGTTGCTAAGCTCAAGAGTGCAGCAAGATAGAGAGACATCACATGCATAGGACATTTATACCATAGCTTCCTATTTTACCATTAGCTATTATTGTTAATTTCTTACTTTGCCTAGAGTGTAAGTAAAACTTTACCATTGGTGTGTATATATAGGAAAAAGATACATCGGATTCAGTACTGTCTGGTTTCATGCACACACTGGGAGTCTAGGGAGTACCCCCTCCATATAAGGGGAGGGCTCTTGTAAATATGTTTTACAAGGAGATAATTGCTAGAGACAGAGAGAGCAAAGCCTGGGGTTGGAGGCTATCAGATGAGTGTTGCAGTTGGAAATGGGATTGCAGGGAGCCTGGTCAGAGACAGGAAAAGCGACAGCTGAGAAAAATGAGGTGTGGAAACCGGCAGTGAGGACTTTTGTGCAGGCAGTAGGCTGCCCAGGGAGGGCGGAAGTGTGAAGGAGCTGGGCTGGCGGGTGAGTGAGGGAAGGGCGGGTGCTGGGTAGGGGTGGGTAGATGCAGAGCTTAGGGCTCGAAATACTGAGATGTAACCCAACACCTAGGCAGAGCTGTTACTGGGTAGTTGACGATTTCAGTCTGAAGGACAGAAAAGACACGTATTTGGAATTAGTAAGCCTACTGATATATAAATCATGACACCTGCCGGAGGACCTAAGAAAATGAGTAGAAGAAGAACAGACAGAAGACTGAGCTCTATCAATTTTTTTGTCTTTTTGAGACAGGGTCTTGCTATGCAGTTCAGGCTGGCCTTGAGCTCACTTTGTAGCCCAGGCTGATCTCGAACTTGCGAGGATCCTCCTGCCTCAGCTTCCCGAGTTCTGGGATTACAGGCATGCGCCACCACGCCTGGCTGAGCTCTGTATGCTCCCCAGTAGGCGTGAAAGGGAAGCAGCAGAGAGGAGCTGCTAAGGAGACAGCAAAACCAGTAAGCACCTGGTGTACGGGAAGCCAGGGGAGGAATGACCATCTCTGGGAGATCCTGCTGATGGTCGAGTGCAGTGAGGACAAGAACTGACCAGGGAGAGTACATTCCGTACCCAACTCAGGGATTCCACAGTTTTTCATTTATATCTAAAACTTCTTGTGTTTGCGCTTTGTCTATGTCTCCATCTCCACTTCCGGCATTCCGGTGCAGACCGACTCCGGTTCGCCTTTCCCCCAAGCTGGTCTGTCTCACATCTGTCTTTCACAGAGCAACCAGGGAGGTCCTTATAAAAAACATCACCAATATTTTTTTTTTCTTTTTGTCTTTTTGAGACAGGGTCTCCCTCTGCAGTTCAGGCTGGCCTTGAGCTGATTTTGTAGCCCAGGCTGGTCTTGAACTCGCAAGGATCCTCCTGCCTCAGCCTCCTGAGTGCTGGGATTACCGACGTATGTGCCACCACGCCCGGCAACATCATCTACTTTTTTCGAAAGTCTTTCTACTGCTGACCATTGCTTTCAGAATAACACTGACATCTCTCGAGTAGAGATCCCTTTCCTGTCTCTGCTCTTCACCTCTCTTGGGCCTCGGCAGAGGAGTGGTCCTGCTGTTTCTCACCCAGAGCTTTTGTAGTTGCTGCTTCCTTTTGTCTGAGAGATTCTTCCTCTTGCTTTCACATATCTGACTCCTCTTCTTTCCCATCTCAGCTCATTTGTTATCTCCTTCGTGAGACTTTTCCATTTCAGGTTTGCCTATCATTTTATATTTTTCTCTGTTTGTTTTCCTGTGTATTGTCTATCTCATTTACTAGAATATGAGTTCCCCAGCCGGGCGTGGTGGCGCACGCCTGTAATCCCAGCACTGAGGAGGCTGAGGCAGGAGCATTGCTGTGAATTAAAGACCAGTCTAGGTTACCAAGTGAGCTCAAGGCCAGCCTGAACTGCATAGTGAGACCCTGTCTCAAAAAGACAAAAAAAAAAAAAAAAAAAAAAAAAAAAAATATGGGTTCCCTGATTATTGGGATAGTACATCTCTTTTACATTGCTCTGCCTCCAGGGTCTAGCCTGGTATTACTGGGACATAGTAAACACTTAGTAAATATTTGGGATTGCAAGAACTAAAAGGTCATTGTCCCTTTGTTCTCAGTAACTGTAAATGTCACATACAGGAAAGGAGGTTGGGCCCGCCTGTAAGGACAGTATCTGTTCTTTAAAGGGACTATAATAAGATAATCACAAATGTTAAGGATGGATTTAAACCTGAACAAGTCAACACCTCCCACAGTTCAGGGATTTATTTGTGCAGCAATATTTGTTGAATGCTTGCTGTGTATCAGGCGTTACACTGGTCGTTTATTACACAGTGGTGAATGAGGTAGATACAAGAGTCTGTGCTCACGGAGTTTATAGTCTAGGAAGGGAGATCAACTTTCAATGAACGATGAAGTTAACACAAGCAGCAAACGCTATGAAAGAAGTAGTAGCTGAGCACGTGCAGGTGCCGGGTATTGTGCTAAGCTGGAGTTGCAGCAGTGAGCCAGATGAAAATATCCCTGCCCTTCAGAGTGTCTATTCTAGAGGAGCAAATAAACATCAGGCAGGCACACTCTATGGTGACCTAGAAACTGAGTCCTAGGAAGGAAATGAAGGCACACGGAGCGGGGGGCTGAGGCTGCAATAGTCTTTCAGGTGGTCAGAGTGGATGACACCTGGGCAGTGGCTTAAGGAGAGTGTGGTGGTGACCTGCTTTCAGATGAATGCGAGGGAGGTGACATTAGGCTGAGATTAGAGAGGCCTGGGAGTCAACCCAATAAACAGAGGGAATAAGCGTAGAAGAAGAACCTCAGCAGGAAAATCATTGGCTGGAGTCAGGTAATTTGCAGGGACGGACTGAAGCCCACTTAGCAGAAACGCAGTGAATGCAAGTACAGCGTCTGAGATGATGTCTTAGTTACTTCTTCGTTGCTGGGACAAAATAGCCAACACCCAACGTTAAAGGAGAAGAGGTTTATCTTGGCTTATGGTTTTAAAGGCTTCAGTCCATAGTCAGCTGGCTTCAAAGCAGGGCGGCATGGCCCAGAGACGTGGCAGAGGAGGAGCAGTCCACAGCAAGGCAGGCGGGAAGCAGAGAGCAGGGAGCGGCGGCAGACACAAGCCTGCCACACATAGCCAGGGTGGGGCTTCTACCTTCCACACCCGTAATCCAGCCACCC